ATATCTGCTTAATGTTAATGTTCCTTAGACTTATGAAAAATCTCCTTGATTACTTGTCTATTCCTGTTGTACAACTGCTTCACTATTGGCTGCTCATTTTCACATACTGACTAATTAACAACATATCCATTCTCTAGACCCATTTACTGAGAGGGTGTACCTAGCAACATAGTATCATTAGATGCTATAATTCCCCGGAGCCTCTCTTGCTAGATGAAGGGAATTGCCTGAGCTTTCCCACTAAATCGAACTATAGAATTAAAGAAGCAGACGCTGCATTATTTATCATTATAGGATAAGCAAGGGGAATACAGCTGTTCCTAGCCCTATGAGCTTTTTGGGATGAATGGTTCAAGGGAATATATGGCTACTAAAGAAACTAAAATCTTACTGTGCTTCTGTTGGAATATCTGGTCATTCTTATCAAAACATGAAATGCTTATAAAGAGAAACTGGAATACCAGATTTGGATCTAACATTTACTTTCTGTTTGAATGTTCCAAATTTGAATTTCACTGAGAACTAGTCAAGTTACTCCTTGATAAATATGGATGGAAGTTATACAGGATGATTCTTTAACTTTTGTTTTAAATTTGTTATATTGTTTATTTATATATTTTTGGATGATTAATAAATTGTAATTTTTAGAACCTTCATATGAAGTCCATCTAACTTATTGGTCCAGTTTATAAAGAAATGTCTGTGTCCCATCTATTGACACATGAGTCTTTAAAGTTAAGGTCAAGTACCAAAAGCTCTAAAAAAGGTGAGCAGTTTGCAATACTATACATTGTTCACCACATTTGGATTATATATTGCACAAAGAGTTTGTTTTCTCCATTTCTCCTCTACAAGTTTAACAACATACAGAGGAAAAGGGGCAGTGTCACAACAGTACACACCAGCCTATGTGATTAGAGCCTGTCCTTATTCAGCTCTATGAAATGTGAGTGTGTCCATACTAAGGCACCAATTATCACTTTAAAATGGGCTATATTGCACTATATGTGTATTTGTATTTTTTAAGATGTTTGCAAAATTTGGGATAAGTGTTTTTAGCCTATAGCGCTCCACCATAACAGTTGAGTTTTATTGATTTAGTAACATTGTGTACAGGTGGGAGGTATTTACATGTAGGTGGTAACAGCTGTTTTGACTTAATATTTGGATTTTGCATTTTTTAAGTGCCTGTTGCACAAATACACACTTGTATAACATGTCCTGTACATGTCTGATATCCTATCATCTTACCATCCACAAGATCGCCTACCCCTCAACACAGTAACACATACATCCAACCACGCACGTCTTAGTATTGCTCCCATCTCTAGAATATAAGCTTATTTGAGCAGGGCCCTCAACACCCTCTGTTTCTGTGCATCCAACTTGTTTTGTTGCAAATACTTCTCTGCCAGACCTCCGATTGTACAGTACTGCATGATTTGTTGGTGCTTTATAAATAATAATCTCACATACTGGCACTCCACCTGATATTTTCACACTGCCATAATCACTAATTCTGTCACACACTAAATTATCTACCCAATCAAATTCACTCATAAACCCAATACAACTCAGAACGTGCAAAGTTTCCTAACATCAGCCACAGCCATACGCCTAGCCACAAAGTCACAAATTAAGTAGCACTTTACAACTTTAAAATGGTGATTTGAGGAATGTGGCTATATATCATTAGGTATCTGACTATGAATCAAACCTCAGCTTCCCAGTTTTAAAGCAGAGACGCTACCACTGCTCTAAACAGCCATTATACATACCTAGCTAATTAAGCTACCTGAAAACCCACATTCAGCCACACATCTACACACCCACTTACATGATCATCCACTACTGTATACAAACAAATACATGTATAATACACATGCAAACAAATTAGAAATGCAGAGAGATATATATGATTTGTCATGTTGCTCAGCACTGGGTAATGAGCAGAGCATATAAAAGAAAATGAAATGTTAAAGTGATATTGATCTACATTTTATTGGCTGAAGGAGATTTCCATGAGTCTAATGAATTGGACTTTAGTTACTCTAAATGTAAGCCAAATGTTTTAAATTGTTATTTTCACATGTATTATTAAAAATCTAAACGACTCATTTACACTTATTGACAAACAGATATAAACCACACACATAGTACATGGTTCTCCAACAAAAAATTGAGTTGCTGATTTAGACTAAAATGACAAAGTAAATAAATTTCCAGGTTCTGATAAAAATTTAATGTAAGTAAAAACGTCATGTCATATGGAAATCAAATTAGGCAAATTATTTTATTTACAGTATGTTTACCAATTCAATTTTAAACAGAACATTGTTCTATCTGACACTGTAGCCTGAATAACTGACAATAATATCTCTATTGACTATCATGCTACTGTGTGTTTACATTCCTGCGGGGATTGGGAAGATAATTTACATAGAATTAGCATCAGAAGTGAAACTTGCAGGTTTTTTTTTTCAACTAAATTGGCATGAATTCATCTTTGAATTCCACATTTCTGGAGAAAATAGTTGAATGACAAAAACATCTCCAACTGAGTTATGGTTCCAGCTTGTTTATTTTCGTTTAAATTTTGAAATTCCCTTGTGAATTCATGATAAACAATTTTGTTACCAGCCTTTTTAATTTACCATTTTTTTTATATCAGTAGATTAAAGTATCAACATATAATGTGTAGATGCTGTAAAGTACCAATCAAACATCAATAAAGTAATTCACCCATAAAATTATTTGGTGATTTACTTTTAGTGTTCAGTCACCCAGATAGCTTAAACTGTGTAACTGTGGTCAATGTCTTTAACTAGGCATTGGTTGTGTATGTGTTTCATGTTTTAGAATAGACACATGATGTAGATAATGAAATGTAATGCTGGATTAGTATTATATTTTTTTTGTAGCTTGCATATGAATATGGTGCTAAATAAATAGTAAAATAATATAATAATAATATTGAAAGAGTTAAATGGGTGTAATCCTATCCTAATTGGTCTCCCCAGAAGCCATAAGGCCTCGCTACAGTCTGTAATAAATACGGCTGCCACACTGATCGTTCTCTCCTGTCGCTCTTCTCACACCACGCCTCTCTGTCAATCCTTACATTGGCCTTCTGTATCCTATAGGATAGAATTGTTTAGAGCTCTAAACAACTCTAGCCCCTGTTAGACTTCTTAATTTTAAACTACTCTAGACCCTAAAGCTCTAAACAACTCTAGCCCCGGTTAGACTTTTTCACTAATTTGTAGGTATGCCCCTTCCCGGTCTCTAGAAAAACCCATTTCTTCAAAAAAGTTTATGGCCTCCCCGAGTAACTTCTATCTCATAAACGTGTCTCTGGCTCTCTCCTAAAGGTTTACACTCCACTCTCTTCACCAGTTCTGATTCATTCCCAGCTTGTTGTTGCTATCCTCCATTAATGCCTGTCCTATTGTGTTTTTATACCCACCCTTCTCTAGATTGTAAGCTTGTTTGAGAAGGATCCTCATCAACCTATTGTTCCTGTAACATTTTGTAATTGTCTCAGTTATCGTGTAAATTTCCCCTTTTTATAACAATAGAAAGCGTGGCACTACATAAATGCCAAAAATTACAATAATAATAATAGTGAACACTACAAACAAGGTGAAATTCGAAGTTTGCATAAAATATTTGTATTATACCATTAATGCAATCTTGTGTACACAAATCTAGCTAATTTGAGCTAAACCAAGAATGCCCAAAAGGTTGTCATCATGGGTCATACGTATATATCCAAATCAGAACTGTTTCTATATATTCTAGTATAATTGCAAACATAATATTTATAGTATCTTTCTTGACTTGCAGATATTTCCTATAATCTGTATCACACACTTTTCACAATGAATTAAAGACTAAATGCATAGCAAGTAGCAGAAAAAATATATGGGATTGTCGTATGTATAGCTTAAGTATAAAAATAAAATGCATTGTACAATTGTAAAGTTAAGACTAAACACACCAATATTAACGATTCTATGTATAAATTAGTAGATCAGCCAAGCTACTTGATCACAAACTATCTTTTGATAATTATCAAAATATTAACAGTCGCTAATAAGCTGTTAGCAGTGCAGACACAATCACACCATTGCTGTTGTGATACTTTTGAACAACATGTATACCATTATTGGTTTGGTGAAAAAGAACCTTATCCCTTATATTAGACAGTAATGCTTTAGATACCACAGTCCTTTAGAAGAAGAGGTCTTCATATGCCAATGGAACCACTAGACACTTATCACATTCAGTATCAAAATAGACTTGATAGACCACAGCAAACACTTTTCAAATGACAACAAACACCACAACCACTTTCCTTGTGTGGATGGAAACAATGTTGCTAAACATAAACACAATTTCCTCATTAATCAATTAAAGGACTAATAATCACTGTACCTGCAAAAAATAAAAATAAAAAAAAGCAAAATAGCTAGCAGAATAATCAAACAACACTATAACCAAATTCTCCAGTTAGATCATTCTTAAAGATGGATGTAATGCTTATTACATGCATATCAATGTTGCTTTAGAACACAACAAGGAAATTACATAAATATCAACTATCACCCTAGCACTGTAAAAAAAAAAAGATCACGTAGGCAGACCAAATCATACAAAGCTGCATCTATATTGTTAGTTGTTAAAGAACAACTAAAAGCAACTACACCACTTCATTTTTTATGAAGTGTTCTGGATGCAGTGGTCATTTAGCTTTAACCTTGAAGGTTAAAACATTGACATTTAGTAGATATGTAAGATTCAAACACACCTTTAGTGGCCACTAGAGGGTGCTTCCGCTACTTCATTCGGTTATGTGATGTTCGACTGCTTCATGCATTGGATTGGATGATCATTGAGAAAGGGATGCCTACAGGATGACTTTGCTGGAGGAGGAGCACACAGCAGAATGAGTCTTGTTGCTGGAAAATGGGTGAGTTAAAACCTTTTTATTTATTTTTATTACAGCTAAAAAGGAGGATGGAGCTGGTTCTATATGGGGGCTAGTAGTATTCTAGCCCCTATGTAGAACCAGCTCCATCCTCCTTTTTAGCTGTAATAAAAATAAATAAAAAGGTTTTAACTCATACTAGCCACCAGCGTTAGGAATACATGTTTGTCATGTTCCTTTAACCTTGTGATCTTGGTGTACTAATCTTGAGATTAACAATGATGCTTGATTTTAAGATAACAATTTCTAACTCTGACTATGTACTGGCAAAAAAAAAAGATCATGCTGAACATACTCAGACAATGCCAAATTAAATTTAAAAAGCATTATCAATTGGATTTTAAAACTGGATTGTGATCAACCTCTAAGCCAGCAAAAGCATGACATATCCGCATGGTCCACAGTAGAGGGACAAATAAATACATGCAAGGATGTTCAGCTCTGAATTTTCTTACACTATATCCAAATGGCAAAGCTAAGCCAAACTATCCAAATTGTGACTAGGGCTGAGTAGGAAATTTGTTCCAGATAAAAAAAAAAAATGTCAATATTTTTTAAACAAATTTTATTTTGTAACGCAGAGTTTAGTGAATAAATGTGTTGGTTGTATGACTCACACTTTTGTCAACCTTCCTGTATTTCCCTAAAATAAAAGTCACTGTTACACGCTTTTATATCTGTAATATACTGCAGGTTTCATGAAGACTGTAGCATAGAGAGAGTCAACTTCACATTTCAGTTGATGAGAATTCCACATTCTGATAATGAGCTGTTTTAATCAATAATATTGCTTTTCAAAATTTAAGGGACACTATAGTCACCAGAACAACTACAGCTTATTGAATTTGTTCCGGTGAGTAGATTTATTCCCTTCAGGCTTTTTGCTGTAAACACTGTCCTTTCAGGGAAAAGGCAGTGTTTACATTACAGCCTAGTGATAACTTCACTGGCCACTCTTCAGATAGCTGGTTTAGATCCTTCCTGGGTCATGGCTGCCTAAAATGCATCCAAACATTCAGTATCTCCTCCCTCTGCATGCAGACACTGAACTTTCCTCATAGAGATTCATTGATTCAATTCATCTCCATGAGGAGATGCTGATTGGCCAGGGCTGTGTTTTAATTGTGCTGGTTCTGCCCCTGATCTGCCTCTTTGTCAGTCTCAGTCAATCCTATGGGGAAGCATTGTGATTGGATCAGGCTACCATTTCTGCGGATGTCAGCAGGCAGTGGGAAGGCCTAAAGGAAACAGGGACAAAATATGCAGCTGCAGACGTGAATACAAGTAAGTTTTACTATTTTTAGGGAGGCATGAGGGGGCCAGGGGTGCTAGTTGGTGGTTTTAACCCTAGGGGGTCAGGAATGCATGTTTGTCTTTCTGGCCCTATAGTGCTCCTTTAAAGCTGAACAGCTGATTTTTCATATGAACATATCAGTTCGGGTTATTGGGGTTTTTAAAAATTGTGTTGATGGGTGTAATTTGATAGAAGACATTGACAGATAGATATAATTAAAAACAAGTTGAATCCTATAAATGAAATTTATTTATACATCAAGTAAACATTTTAATCTCTAACTTTGGAGGTTTGGGGAGGGAAGGTAAAGACTTTATTTATTGATTGATTAATAGTGCCAGACAGACTGTAAACCAAAGTGTGTCTATAACAGGTGATTGTACATTTAAAATACATATTTAATGTTTATTTATACGTATTTGTTGCTTTACTGTTATTTGTACCTTTAAAACATCTAGCAGGGGTGATAATTTCTCGTATAAAATAAGTGGTCACAGATGTCAACAAACATCAATGCTCTTGTCACTGGCCAATCTTTATTTCGTACTAGAGGCCACAGCAGAAGACATAAAAACACAGCTCAGGGAAGAAAAAATGTCACATTTTCAGTGTTCCTTTTGTGACAATGTCCACAGAAATGGAATGTAACTGACATGAAAATTCTTTAAAGTAGACACTTAGCTGGACCTCGGGGGAGACCAATATAAAATTAAATAAAATACCCTATACATTTCAATGTTCCAAGATAAAAAAACGAAAGCAATAAAAGCATATAAACATATACACACAAAAAATGTTTTTGTTTTCATTCCCTGAAGAAACAAATAATATCCAATATGTAATAAAAAAAAATACACAAACCAAAGCATGCATTGTTCTTGGTGGGTCAATGAAGCTGCTGCCCCCTACTGTCTACAAGTAAAAAAATCATCTACATAAATTCAATGGATATTTTTAAGTATACACAATGATTTTAGTCTGGTTTAAAGGTGACTTCTAGAGAATGCACAACATACAAATAGAAACTATTATTTAAGCTGTCTGTTACATTACCTCCATATGTATACAATGCTGACATCACAACAATAAAAGCAACGGCATCATACATTTTATTTCACAAGGTGGACTTGCTCTTTTCTTTCAAGATTTTATGTCTAAACCATTGAGATTCCTGAGTTCTATGGCTTTTTTTTTGTTATTGGAAAGGAGACAGCACAAAAACCAAATGATGTGCCTTTTAATTCTTTATCTACACTATCCGTCAAGAACAATCGTTTTAAGAGCCACAGAGGACGATCCAGACATTATTTATGGCTGCCATATTTCAGGCCCTTTTCAATAGACAGACCGATAAGAGTTTCAAGAGAAAGATCAATCTTTTCCATTACCCGATCTGCCAAGCCTGAAATGATCCATTTAAATTAGAAAGTTTGCTTTGTTTTGTTGCCTTTATAGGTGAGACAATTTTGCAATACAATGCATTGAATAAGGATTGTGATTTATTAAACACATGTGAAGGTGCTACTGTCACAGTGGCCTTTGCTTAAATTTCTTCCTCTATGGAGATAATAGATATATTCCCCAATGGTATAACTAAGATGTATAAATATGATGGCAAATCGATTTCAACCTCTGGATCACATCTGTGCCATGCTGATGAGTCCCAAAAGAGTGAAACAGACCACTCCATTGTTGGTCTGTGATCCATTAGGATAATTTCCCATAGTTTGTTGAAAATTAATGTGTTTGTAAACATTTGTAAATGGAAGCTGCAGAACAGTGGGTTGAAATCTAAAAGGTGACAATAATGTGTGCTTATTTGCATATCAATCATGCCATTCTGGAACAATTGTGGAAGCAAGATCTTTCAGAGCTGTTGAGCCCAAGGCAGGCTTTTTCTGAGGTTTGCTTTGTGATATGTGAGTCATCCATAGCAGTATTCCAGAATTAACCTGTGATATGAATAATATATATTTAACTTCTATTTTAGAGGTAGGGAAGCCAGGGCATTACAGATATAGTATATATCCCTTATTATTCCCCTGCATGCTTGCAAAAGATTTAACTTCATGTCAGGCAAAGAACCTGTTGCTTAAGAATTCCTTTTAGGGTTGCTAAGATGAAATACGTGAAACTTAAAAGTGTGGTCATAGTTCTTCACCTTATCATTTATAATAGGTATCGTTCTCTCTTCTGCAATTTTGGTATCTGTATATGTATAATTAAAGAAATATCTAATAGGTATACTTTTATTTTTAGTATTTTATTTTCAATTTCAGAATAACTTACATACATACGTTACACATAATCACCATAATAAGCCGTTATCAAATTACACGATCTTAACTAACATTACAGACAAGTGACATATTCAGTTTAATGGACCCAGGAAGTGAAGGGTGGCAGGTTTAACAGACTGTCTGCGTGTATCGCCAGTACGCCATGTTTTCAAAAATTATATATTCGTCTATATAGAAGAAACTAAAAGGCTAGTTTGTACCTACTCTTCATATTCGCAATAATTGGGTAGTGATTGAAATAAAAAAAGGTATCTTTTCACGATGTAATATCTAACTTTTTGATTCATTCATCCCACATTTTATATTTTTTGGGGTTAATGCAAAATATTGAGGCAATACCTTTCTCCATTTTACATTGTTTTATATATTGCCATGTTTTGTACTCGTGGAGTTTTTCAGTTTCTGACTATGGATAATTTAAACACTAGTAGTATATGCACCAATAGGCCTTTTTTTATTATAAGGCATAGATGGTATATTGAGATGTAGCAACACCATATCCGGTGTCCATCTCTGTCGTATGTCTAAGAGTCTATTAATATTTAAAATTATCTGTTGCCAACCAGATTGGATTATGGGGCAATCCCACCAAATGTGTCTTTCATTCGCCTCTGGTTGTCCACATCTCCAACAGAAAAGATTCTCTTCAGGATACATTTTTGCCATTCGAGCAGGGATCAAATACACAAGACAGTTTATATTGTATTTCTATTAAATTTAAGCAGTGTACCATAGAGTTTACATCCTAGAGAGTGGCATACCAATCATTTAGATTAATAACAATTTGAAGGTCTTTCCCCCAGCTACCAAGACCCCTAGGACTTAGCGGCCTTTTAATTGCCTTTAATACTTCTGCACATCTCGCTAATAGCTTGCCGCTCTTTCCTATCTTTATGATATCGCTGAGTTTCTTAAAGGAGTCTGCATAGGGTTCCTTTGGCAATGTTACCACAATGAAGCTTCTAACTCTGATGTAATTAAATATCTGTACCTTTGGGGAGATCACAAAATGTTCTAGCTTTGATTCCATCCAGTATATTAAATATCTTTACAATATCATTATTTATCCATACATTTAGATCTATATTAACCTACAAATACTTTAGAAATTGTGTTGGAAAAGAGAAGAGTATTTAATTTGTCAAATTTGCTCATCTTTTATATATGCACCAAAAAAAATCACAAGACTATTAAGAATTAAACTATATTCTCTCTCTATGAATTTATTTTGTTCTTTATGTCCCAGAAGATATCAATCAACTTATACTGAGTTTTTAAAATAAGCTTCTTCCAAAGCTCACCATACTTGAGATTTATGATTCTCTAAATGCTGCCCTCTGGTGTAAACTAATATCCAGGAAGCATATTCCTCCATGTTTTTTATTCAGGGATAAAAGATTTGAGCTTATTTTAGGCTTTCTTCCGAGCCATACAAATTTAGAGAAAGCTTTTTTAAGCATTTTTAGCCAGGGCATAGAGACCTCCAATGATATCATAGGAATTTA